GCCGGCCAACAGTGGGAAAGGTCGTATATATCTCCAGTCCCGAAGGAAGTGGGCACTGAGGAGTGATGAGGGGGAGTCTGGGAGGGACGCAGGGAGAGAAGAGGTGATATGAGGTCGCAGATGGTATGGGCGGAGAGGGGAGGGTGCACGGCGCAGAAGGTAGCAGGGGGGAGGAGAGAAAGGGAGGTGGGAGGAGGAAGGAGAGCGGATTGAAGTGAAGGAGGGAGGGAGAGGTTGGGGACCAGAGAAAGGCGCGAGGAAAAGGGTGGCAGGTAATGAGAGAGAGAGAAATAGAGATATAGAGAGAGATAGAGAAAAAAATGGAAAGCAAGAGAGAGAGAGAGAGAGATGGAGGGAGGAGGATGAGGAGAGTGATATGAGATTACGGGGAAGCATGGACGCTGATGGACGGAAGGGTGAACAGGTAGGATGGAACGATAATGAAGGAAATATGCCGGAAGGAAGCAGCGAGGAGCAAGAGGAAGGAGGCAGACGGCTGGAGAGAAGGAACCGATGGGGGCATCGCGACACAGAGAAGAGGAGGAGGTATGAGGGAGGATACAGGAGAGGAAGGGCGGGGAGGAGACCCGAGGACGGACGATGGAGGGTTCAAAGGGGAAACCAGGCAAAAAGAGGAGGACGGGGAGGTCGCACGGAGGGTGGAAGAGTGGAATGGGAAAGGAGGACAAACTCGCGAAAAGAGGGAAGAACGGTAAAAGGGAGGGCGGAGGGAGGGTGGACAAAACCGAAGCCGGAGGAAAAAGGGCAAGGGGAAGGAGGCAGAAGGAGGAGGAGGAGGAGGGAGCAAGAGGTAAAATTCGGGAGACATCGTCGACGACGATGTCGAGACACGCCTTCGGGGACGCGATGCCGCCTTGGGGCTCCTAGCGTGGCCCAGCTTAGATTAGAAGACACAAGATCGAGGACTTAGTAGGGACCCGGAAGGAGTAACGAAGACGGAGGGAAGAGGCGGACAGGGATGAGTCAGGAGAGAGATATTGGAAGGCGGAGGGAGGGAGGAGGGTGGGAGGCAGAAGGGAGGACGCAGGGGACTGGCGGGGGAAGGGGGCGAGGAGAGGGAGGCGGTGGAGGAGGAGGCGAAATGACCGCCACGGGAAACACAACGATGGAACATGGGCCACC